ATTCTCCCACCATGACCAAACCATCGCTCGGATCAACAACGGCAGCTTTGGGAGCTGCCCTCAATCTGTCATCTCAGCCCAACAAAACTTCCAGCTCCAGTTCCTCCGCCAGCCAGATAACTTTTACTTCAACACCCTCAAACCTTCTATACTTCATTCACGCTCCTTAATCAAATCTTTGGTAAACGCTATTTCTGTTGATGAAATCTCCCTTGTAGACAACGCCACCACCGCTGCTGCTATTGTGTTACAAAACTGTGCATGGGGTTTCAACGAAGGAAGGTTTAGCAAGGGAGATGTTGCTGTCATGTTGCATTATGCTTATGGCGCTGTCAAGAAGTCTGTTCAGGCTTATGTCACGCGTGCTGGAGGGGAAGTTATTGAGGTACACTTGCCCTTCCCTGTTGCATCAAAGGAGGAGATTGTGAGTGAATTTAGAAAGGCCTTAGCGAGAGGGAAAGAAAACGGGAAGAAGAAAGTCAGGTTGGCTGTGATTGATCATGTTACTTCGATGCCTAGTGTTGTTATTCCTGTTAAAGAATTAGTTAAAATTTGTAGAGAGGAAGGTGTTGACCAGGTTTTTGTTGATGCTGCTCATGGAATTGGGTGTGTTGATGTTGATGTGAGAGATATTGGGGCTGATTTCTATACTAGTAATTTGCATAAGTGGTTTTTTTGCCCTCCTTCTGTTGCCTTTTTGTATTGCAGGAAGAGAGGAGAGGAAGGTAAAGGGGGTGATCTGCATCACCCTGTTGTGTCTCATGAGTATGGTAATGGATTGGCTGTAGAGAGTGCTTGGATTGGGACTAGGGATTATAGTGCTCAATTGGTGGTTCCGGCGGTTTTGGAGTTTATTAATAGGTTTGAAGGTGGGATTGAGGGAATTAAGAAGAGGAATCATGAGAAAGTTGTGGAGATGGGGGAGATGCTGGCGAAAGCTTGGGGGACTAATCTTGGGTCTCCACCGGAGATGTGTGGGAGTATGATTATGGTTGGATTGCCTGCTTGTTTGGGGATTTCAAATGATCCGGATACTTTGAAGTTAAGGTCGCACTTGAGAGAGCATTTCCAGGTTGAAGTTCCTATTTATTTTAGGGCTCCAGTTGATGGAGAAGTTGATTTAATTACTGGCTATGCTCGCATTTCTCATCAAGTTTACAACAAGGTTGAGGATTATTACAGGTTTAGGGATGCAGTTAACCAATTGGTCAGTGATGGCTTCACTTGTGCATCTCTCTGTAATTGAAGAGGTATGCCCTGTCTCTAATTGTATGCAGGGTTTGTAAAAGCTATCTTGATGATCATGACGAGGGTTTTCTGTGCCTTTTTACTCACATTGTCAATCTATGTTTTCGTTTGCTAATCCATTGATAGATAATCCGTTAGTTTCTTTTATAAAAAAATTCCACTTTTAAATCCGTGATAGCTAGGTGATTAGCCTAAGTTTTGGAACTGGTTCTAATGTACATCTAAATTTAAGCGTAATCGTGAAATTTCCCATAAATCAATCAGATTGCAGAATGTTTTTATGGAGCGAATCTTTTGTTGCTTGCCAACTCAGAAAGTTCAATGAACTCTGCAGGTTCTGTTATTGTCCATCATGATAATGCAGAGAAGTAATGCCTTTTTCAGATTTTCTGGGGATGAAATAAACTTTAGGTTGTTTCCCTACATTTAACCATGGAAACTGGCAACTGGCCTTTCGAGAAAGTTTCATGAGTAGAATTATGAAGAATAAGAATACAGAAACACAACTTGCTTTAACCAATATCGAGCTCGTGTTGAATCAATTAGTAAATATCTGTGAAAATGAATCTGATCTTGTTAAAGATAGAGTCTGCAATAAAATAAACATCTATTCCAATGATTTTTGTCTTGTTTTCCTACTTATTAGTCAAAGACTGTCTATCCATCTATCATAATGACATAACAGGTTTACATTCCCAGGGCAGCGATACCTTTCCAGTTTGGGACTGCCCTCCCCCAGGTCCATGTCAAATTCCCTAGCTTTTGTCTTGTTTTCCTAATTATTAGTCAAAGACTGTCTATCCATCTATCATAATGACATAACAGGTTTACATTCCCAGGGCAGCGATACCTTTCCAGTTTGGGACTGCCCTCCCCCAGGTCCATGTCAAATTCCCTAGCTTTTGTCTTGATTTCCTAATACTCTACTGGAAAGGGTATCTAGGCTGTGATTCAGGGTAGTTATTAGGGGTCTGGCTTGGGATTACCAGCAAAACAGTATCTATTCAAGGACCATCCTTGGAATGTCTTGTCAACATGTTAGTCTTTGGATAGATGATTTCCCTGCCATTCCCCCTCCTGTTATTGAATCAACAGTGGAATTTTGCGCAGGGAATTAATGTGTGGAAATTGTGTTTTTTTTTTACTGAATACATAGACACAAATATTTAAATCGATCGAATGAAATTAGAGAGCATGATTTTAAGATAGTAGTTGCTAATCCTCCACAGGTTTCATGCTGCTAAATTTCTTTGCTTCTATGAATATCTCAATCTTGCTGTCCCCTTGTGATTGTTTGGTGCTTCTTTTGTTTATCCTTAATGACCTTCATGTTACTATACTTGCAGCACCTTGGCCTCTGAATTGAAAAAAAAAATGGAAAAGAGTTGCTCATATGCAAATTAGGCATCCCTTATAGTTTGTTTTGTAAACAACATGATAATTGGTTAAGGTAACCATCTGATTAATTGTGACTCATTGAGATCCTCATCGCACAGGAAGATTCGTGCATTAGTCTCCTTGATCACAGACTTGACCATTAATGGGGGAAAAAATGATGTCTGTTTTTGTGGGAACAAAGTCTATGTTTTTTATGGATATAATTTTATTGATTTAGTAGGATTCAGTTTTTAGAGTTGTTAATGGTTGGTGCCTGTGGAATTATAAATTTCTCTGTGCTCTTGCAGTTGGCCGCTGCGAGGAACAAATCTTTTCTCTTCCTACATTTTTCTTTAACCTAAACTATAAACCATATTTGCATTTCAATCTGCAGTTTTTCAGTTCTTGCTGTGCTGATGAAATCTGTGGAATAACGTATTAGTTTGATTTTGCTTCTTTTAAGTTGCTTTGACCTGTAATTTTCTGTTAGTTTGCAGTTCAATCTTCAATGAGGCACAGTAGAAACGTTTCCAATGACCATCAGCCAGTGATCATGGTTTCGGTACCACACTCAAAAGTTGACAAACAAACTTGAGATTGATGATGAGTATCAGAGTTCCAAGTTTGTTTCTTTACCCCCCCCTTTTTTTTTCCTAATCATTTGGAAGTTGTAGAGGAGATGAACTTGTCTGTTGTTCTCCCACGACATTCTTGTAAATATTATCCAAATAATTAATATAAACTATTTTCAGCATGCTTTTAACCCAATATGCTGTGGAGATTGTAGAATCTTATTAGTTATTTCACTGGATCACTTTGAGGGAAAAAAAAAAAAAGAAAGAAAGAAACTCAAATTCAGAACCCACAAACGTGATGAGCATATCTCTATCTAAGCTCTCTCTCTTCTCTTTGTATCTATCACTTTCTTTAAAGGAGGCCTGTAGAGTATTGTGTTGTTTTTCATACAAGGATTGCATTGACATTATCACTCTCCTCCCACTGCATCTACTGTCTTCTTCTCTTTTCTTTTCTTTTTAATGTTTTTGCAAATGTTAGGAACCAGGTTTGATCTTGTTTTCTTCAAATATACTTCAATCCGGCTTGAAAGGTGTATATAGGTCTTCTTTGTGTTTGAGATAAGGTAGATATGTTTTTTCGAATTGCTTTTTTTGTTTGGAAATATTTTTAAATAATATCTTTTATAAAAAAATAATTTTTAATATCAATACATCAAAACTATCTAAAAATATTAAAAAAATAATTTGAAACAAAAAAAAAATCAATTTTTTTCATAAAAAAGGTTGGGCAAAAACAAACCTTGTCTTGGTAGTACAATGAAGTGAGGATGAAATTGTGTTTTGCCTAAACTATAATTTTAAAAATATTTGATTACAATCCTGTTTTGTATATATTGTAACTATAAACTTTTTTAAAATAAAAAAACTAAAATTCATATTTTTTTTAAACCGAGTAATTTGCTAAAACGATAGTGTAAAGTAAAGTTGGGAGTTGGAGTCGGTAGCATTCATGGTAGGTGAGGTCTCTGTAGTGTTATGAGTTATGACAGTCGGCAAGCCTCCATCATTTTGTTGCTGCAGGCAAAGGATAAACCAAGAAAGGCACATCTAGAGGAAAGTGGGCCAGAGAGGCAGCGTTGGCTAGCTTACAAGATTTTGCACGTCGTACATTCATGCTATTTGTTGGAGGAGGCGAAAGTGATGAGTCCACCGAAATTAAAAAAGAGATGATGTTTTTGCCTCTGCTCTTCACTGCTAATCCTTTCCCAAAAGTAAGAAGTACCAAGAAGAGAGAGAAAAAAACAGGGACTGCTACGGCTGAAGAATGATGACTCAATCGACGCTTCAATTGGTTATTAAAAAACGTTAATTAATTGTTTTTAGTTACGGATTATTGATGCCGACAAAGATAAGGGAAATATAGACATTGCTAATCACTATTATAAGCTACAAGTGAACTCTAAACCAGGAACCGAGATCATCTCGGGTTTTATTAGCACGCACACAAATAAAAGAAACCGACTTTGCATGAGAATGGGAAGGGGGAGCTCAGCTCGCCATAAAAAGGATCAGATAGATCAGCAACCAAAACGGGTCCCAAATCGGCTCTGAATTCCATTTTTTAGCCGTAACCCATGAAAAGCTAAGACATGAAAAGGTGAGAAAGGGTTAAGATCAATCATGGTCCCTTTTCTTTACACATACACTCAAATCAACTCCTATATTCTCTATGAAAGGCAATCTCAGACCCTTCACCCAATTAAATCATAACATAGAACTCTCATCCCCGTTTAATTAATGCAAGAATAGCATTGGTAGGCTCAAATAACATTCTATTTAAAGTAAAAGGATTGGTTTTAACTTAGCTGTAACAAATTTCATTGGCTGACAGCATCAAACTCTTGAGAGATTCCCTACACTTGGTACCTCTATTTTTTCTATTGCATCAGAACACAAAACCCCACCCCACACAAACACATACTCTCTCTCTGGTTTTGTTCTGATTTAGGGGCCAGTTTGAATCCAAGTTCTGCTTGTACAAATTAGGGTGGGAAATTGAGCCAATTTCAGCAACTTTCTCTTCCTTTTTTTTTTCTGTAATAAAGGTACCAACTTTCTTTCGTTTTTCTCTTTATTTTATTGTTCATGTTATTATTTCAATTCATGAGGGTTCTTTTATTCTTTTTGTTGCTAATTCTGATTGTTTTTAGATTATTTGTTAGTTGTTCGAGGATAAAGTTTCCAACTTTATTGTTTATTTTGGGTTCTTAGTGAAATTGCTTTGTATTTTCTTTTCTGGGTTTCCACCAGAATGTTGTGAAATTAGCTGATTTTTATTAATTTTTTAGGTATTGGGTCCTTTTATTTGTTGAGGGTGACCAAAAAGATTATTTATTTTGCCCTTTATCATCTTGGGATTTTGAAATTCCGAAAACCTGATATTGAATACCTGATTGTTTTCATTGCACCAATGTTCTTTAGTTTAATATTTTGCTGATAGTGATATTGAAGTTATCTTCTTTTAAATCTTTCTGCCTGCTGCAGCTTATTGAATAGTTCCATCAGGTACAATTGAGTGAAATTTTATTGGTTTCCTGTTTACTTGATGAGGTTGCAAGCCTAAACATGAAATCTTTAATTTATTTTGTCTACATTGTTTTAGTAACTGAACACCGAGTTTTCGTCCAATTGGTTGATCGCAATAATTGAAAGATGGGTGTTTATGACTGAATTTTTTAGAATCAACTCTGTCCACTCTTTACATACTCACAGGTATTGAAGAATTGCCAAGCTTACTTAGCTACTTGTGCTCTTTTAGTTATCTGTAAATGTTATGGTTTTTCATAGCGGATTACATCTTGGGTTCAAATTTTTTACTTTTTTTTTTAAAGCAGGTAATGGTGGAGATAAAAATGATAGCTATATGTCAGTTGGGTGGTGAATTTGTAACAGATAAGGATGGTACTTTGTCGTATAGAGGTGGTGATGCTCATGCTATAGACATTGATGACCAAATTAAGTTCAATGACTTCAAGGTGGAGGTGGCTGAGATGTTTAATTGCAGTGTCAATACCATGTCTCTCAAATACTTTCTTCCAGGCAATAAGAAGACTCTTATTACCATCTCTAATGACAAGGACTTGAAGAGGATGATAAAATTTCACGGGGATTCTGTCACTGCTGATGTTTATGTGATTTTGGAAGATAATTTTCTGCCTGGTGTCTCAAATTTGCCTGCCAGTAGGTAGTCTTCTTGATGCTAAGCTATAAATGTGGTCAATTTATTGATCTGATGGAGTCACTTTATCAATTCTTGATTTTGTAGATCAAGCAGAACAACTCTGTCTGAAGCAGTGCCTCCTATTGATGCTCCTCTTGCCATTTTGGAGGATATCACTCAGCCTGATAACTCGCTTGTGGCACCTCTTGATCTTGATGTTGTAGATGATACCAATAATGTTGATATTCATATTGAAGATCAGCAGATTGATCCACTTGAAATTTCACCCATTCTTCCTCTTCTTGCTTCCAATGATGAGAAACATGCTAAAGGTGCACAGCAATGGCAGAATACTATTACTGGAGTAGGTCAAAGATTCAGCAGTGTTCATGAATTTCGCGAATCATTGCGTAAATATGCCATTGCACACCAGTTTGCATTTAGATATAAGAAGAACGATAGCCATCGTGTAACAGTTAAATGCAAAGCCGAAGGTTGTCCCTGGAGAATTCATGCGTCAAGGTTGTCGACCACTCAACTAATTTGCATCAAGAAAATGAATCCAACTCATACATGTGAAGGGTCGGTGGTGACAACAGGACATCAGGCAACTCGGAGCTGGGTAGCTAGTATTATTAAGGAAAAGTTGAAAGTTTTCCCAAATTACAAGCCCAAGGATATTGTCAATGACATCAAACATGAATATGGAATCCAACTGAACTACTTCCAGGCATGGCGTGGGAAAGAAATTGCAAAGGAGCAGCTTCAGGGTTCATACAAAGAGGCATATAATCAGTTACCATTTTTCTGTGACAAGATAATGGAAACAAATCCAGGTAGTCTGGCAACATTCACCACTAAGGATGACTCAAGTTTTGAGGGCCTATTTGTCTCATTCCATGCCTCATTGTATGGTTTTGTTCAAGGTTGCAGACCTCTTCTTTTCCTTGATAGCTTACCTTTAAATTCAAAATATCAAGGTACATTATTAGCTGCAACAGCTGCAGATGGGAATGATAGCGTGTTTCCTGTTGCGTTTGCATTAGTAGATGCAGAAACTAATGATAATTGGCATTGGTTCTTACTTCAAATGAAAACTGCACTGTCAACTTCTTGTCCAATAACATTTGTGGCGGACAAACTAAAGGGCTTAAAGGAATCAATTGCCGAGATATTCAAGGGCTCATTCCATGGCTATTGCCTACGGTATTTGTCTGAGCAGCTTGTGCAGGACTTGAAGGGGCAGTTTTCTCATGAGGTTAAGCGACTAATGATTGAAGACTTAAATGCTGCTGCCTATGCATGTAGGCCTGAAATCTTCCAGAGGTGCATGGAGAGCATCAAAAGTATTTCACTGGAAGCTTACAATTGGATCCTCCAAAGTGAACCGCAAAATTGGGCAAATTCATTTTTTCAGGGTGCAAGATACAATTACATGACATCTAACTTTGGAGAGATGTTCTACAGCTGGGTGTCAGATGCACATGAGTTACCAATAACACAGATGGTTGATGTGATACGGGGTAAGATTATGGAGTTGATTTATACAAGGAGGGCAGATTCCAACCAGTGGCTGACAAGATTAACTCCATCTGCGGAGGAAAAGCTAGAGAAGGAAAGTTTGAAAGTACATTCCCTTCAGGTGCTGCTGTCAGCTGGTAGTATATTTGAGGTTCGTGGAGAATCTGTTGAAGTGGTTGATATCGACCGCTGGGATTGTAGTTGCAAAGATTGGCAGCTTACTGGTTTACCTTGTTGCCATGCTCTTGCTGTCATTGGTTGTATTGGCAGGAGTCCATATGATTATTGTTCAAGATATTTCACAACTGAAAGCTACCGATTGACATATTCTGAGTCTGTTCACCCTGTACCCAATGTGGACATGCCTCTTGAGAAAGATTCTTCTCAGGTTGCAGTAACTGTAACCCCTCCTCCGACCCGGCGTCCTCCAGGCCGGCCTACCACAAAGAAATATGGACAACAAGATGTAGTCAAACGTCAGCTCCAGTGCAGTAGATGCAAGGGGCTTGGGCACAACAAGTCCACTTGCAAAGTTGTAGAGTGTTAGAAGAGCTTTTGTAAAGTGTTAGGTGCTGTAAGTATTAGCTTTTGCCATGCAATGCAGTTTTACCTCTTTCATGATAATTGATTTCAATTTTTACTTACTACACGTTTTTAACCACACCCAGAGCCTTTAACTTGTATGCCTATTTTTCAAGGCCATATACCCAGAAATTGATCTATGTTTCTTGGCATGGCTCCGCGTATACATTTTGTTATGCCCTTTTCCACAGGCATACAGTCATATACCTGCTACGTGCTTCTGCAAAAATTTTGGTTGCCATTTCAACTTGTCAAGATGTTGACATGAGTATTTGCTCCATCACTTTATATACATGCACACATACACTCTCACATTTGTCACCGCATGTTTTTACATTACATGGTGGAGTTCAATTCCTTATATTTGAATATTGTTCTGGGAAACGCCTGCCTGTCCATCTAATTTTGAATTTTGTTGTTTGCATTCAACCAATCAATGCCCTTGTGTTTTATTAACAGGGATGACATCAAGAAGCAGAGGCATCAGAATCTGTACATGTAACAACTATTTTGAAGGACCAGAAAGACCTATTAAAATGCTTGATTTAAGTGACTTGAATTGTGAGACCTTTAGTTTTGTACGGTTGGTTGCTTATCTTTATCTGGTGTTGCCTTTGAGCTTTATTTCTTTCGGAATTCTTACTAGTTTGAACAAGAGTGCAATGACCGTGATAATAATGTTAGGAACGCGTGTTGCTGATGTAAACAAGAGTATTTATGCTCAGATTTGTTATATGAGAAAAGGCTCATCTAGGTTTCAACTTTATTCAGACAAGGATACAGCATTGCTGCTTATCCCATCTGTGTTTCTTGTTGACTGTGTTCTTGAATTAGTTCGTGCTCTTGTTTGCGGATGACAGGGATAAAATCATGGGCCATGACTTATGAAACTTTACGCTTCCATTGCAAAGAATGGTATGGTTCAAGATGGATGGGAACCATGTAGCTCTCTACCTTTGAAGGTGGCAACGGCAATGGCTTGCACTCTTACCCCCACACAGTTTATAGGAATTGACTGAACATGGGGGGAGAATTCATGGCTTAGCTACAATGATAACTGGCATAACAAACGAGAACATAATTATCATGTATGGAGTAAATGTGATAAAAAATGGCTTGCGTCGCACCATTTTATCCCATTCTTTAAGCCATGGGCGATCCGAAGTGCAGCAAAGTTGGATGGTATCATGATAATCACGAAAATCAAGTTGTTTTCTAATGGTAAAGGAAAAAATAATCTTGGGACTACGGGGTTTGCTCCCTCTGTGGTCTCAGGTTCGAGTCCTTAGTTGCTCATATGATGGCCACTGGAGGCTTACATGGTCGTTAACTTCAGGACCCGTGGGATTAGTCGTGGTACGCGTAAGTTGGCCCGGACACCCACGTTAATCTAAAAAAAAAGAATAATCTTAGCTTACACATGAAAAATAAGTTTAATAACATTCCTCAATTGAAATTTGAGTCGCTAAAACATATGTTCCTCTTTGTGACAAATTTGAATCACTAAAACATCTATTCCTACAAAAAGAAAAAGAAAAGGACCCTACCCTACATCATTGTTTCCTCAGATCTTCAATAAGCTTCAACACTTCACCCCGCATTGTTGTCTCCAGACATGCATTAACCTCCCTTTCAACAGCAAACAACCAGTCACCATCATTGCCATTCCTTTCACATGAATGCCATCGGCAAATAACCTCAGCAATGGCCATAACATAAAGCCCACAGTCAAATCCATTTGTCTGCTGTGGTGTTTTAGCTTCTTTAAAGAAAGGAACAGCAGCAGACCCTACAGCTTTCATTTTCAGAGTCTTAGCACCATCTTTTGATAATGATTCACTGGCTGTGCCCATGAATCCCTTTACAGCTTTGTAGAGCTTCAAGGCATGATATCGGTGCATCCCCAGCAAGCTATCAAAATGCAGAAGGTAATTCTGGCTCCTATCATAAACAAGCAAGCTCCAATGTGTTCCCCTTTCAGCTGCACTGAAATCTTCGTTATCATTCACAGTAAAAAGAATGAGTTTCTTACTTGAAAACTTAAGAGGTTCCACAAAATCATTGACAAGACTCTGTTGATCTTGGCAATTTGCGAACCAATAAGATGTGGAAGGTGGAACTAACAAGATATCATTAGCATCAGCGTTATAAGAAGAAGATAAGTAAGCAAAATAGAAATCAATAATTTGGTCATTAAGATAGCATGGTCCTTTAAGGATATTCAAATCTGAAACTCTCAAAACCACATCCTTGTATGACAAAACAATCTCTTTGTCATCCATTGATTACAAGAACCTGCAAAACAACACAAATCAAGATAAAAACAAAAAGGATTCTCTGCAAAAACAACAAAACACAATAACAAAGTATCTTACTTTTAACTCAAACTGACAACATTAAGTTAAAGAAACAATATTTACTCACATGGGAATTAAGACCCAGAAAACAAAAAATTGTAACATCTAACAAAAACCCAGATACCCAATCCTTCACAAAAACTGAAATTATAAGAAACTATTAAGCAAAAATTAGAAGAATAAAAAACGAAACCAACCTTATGGGCTTTTGAAGTTTTGAACCCTGAACCCCTTAACGTAATAGAGTAATGAACTTGTTTCAAGAAAAGATCAAAGCTTTTCTTATATACAGCACGATGCAATCCTAAGCAAACCATTTGGCTTTTTCTTAATGGTAATTTCAGACTTGTCCTTGCAGTTTAGGTGAATTATTAATGAGCCCCCAAAATGTTCAATATTAGCCATCCCTATCATATGTTTTCATTTCTCAGCTGACCTACTAAGGTTCTAGTAAAGTTTCAATCACCCACCGTCTTTGTTAACAGAAGTGGTGGAATAATGATTTTGTAGAGTTAATATCAGTCAAGAGCACTATGTTTGGTATTGTGGTGAATTATAAGCTGCATCGCAATAAAAACATGATTTTCATGTTTCATGTTTCTATTATGGCACAACCTACAATATAATAATAAACAGGTACGTAGCCTAGTTAATAAATTTTTTATTCATATTATTGTTTAAGATTTAAATTCCAGAGAGAAGGAAGGGTTAACGAATCTTAGAATATTATATATTTTAGTTCTTGTATATTTAGAAAATTTTAATTTATACTATTGAAAAAATCAGAACTTTTTGTGCTCTAATTTTTTTTTAATCTGAATTACCTATTTTATGCAATAAAACGAAAACGTTTTTAGATAACTTAACATTTTATGTTGAGGATTTACTGTTTGTATTGACAGAAGGAATTGATGGAGGATTGTTGTGCAGGTTACGGACCCAATTGATAAAGAATATAGTTTTGGGACCAAATTAAATATTGGTAATAGTTGGGGGACTAGTACGAGGGTAGACCAATAGCCCAGGTGAAACTCTCAACAAATGCGGAGTACCAAACACCCTTGTATCTCGTCATAAACCAAGGCCTCACTTGCAAGGAGTTGAGCTAAGGAAGGACATCCTCAACTCAAACAAACACAGCCGATCACTCTCTGGTGCTTCCCTTTGTCAGGTCAGTCATATGTCAGTCTTCATTGTCTGGTGTTTAGTAAAAAGTAACATACTTTCACATTATTTTTGCCTTCATCGAGCTTAAAAAGAAACAAACTTGTAGTTGTGACTGACTGCAATGCTCTCTCCTTCAACACTTTCGAAGACAATTCCCAAATGGCTCAATCTAAAATCATTCATTTCTTCAGTATCTTGCACTAATGTCATCCAAATTAACCCAGAAATCAATCAAAACACACCAAATATTACTGATTTTGATGCAAAGATTCAATCTTTGAGAAATAAACTGTGCCCAGAGTACTTAATCAAGGTTTTGAAAAGCACCAGTGATATTAACTCTGCCGTTAAGCTATTCAAATGGGCTTCCCTTCAAAGAAGGTTTAACCACACTGCTGATACATATTATTGGATTATTTTCAAGCTGGGCATGGCTGAAAATGTTGAGGAAATGGAGGGGTTTTGTCAAAATATGGTGAAAGATAGGTGCCCGGGTGTAGAAGATGTTCTTCTTTCATTGGTTGATGCATTTGTTAGAAATTGTAGGCTTAATGAAGCAATGCGTGTTCTTTTTAATATGAATTTGGCTGGTATTAAGCCTTCAATTGATGTGTTTAATTTTGTATTGGGCGCACTTGTGGAAGAGAAGAGAGGTTTTCAAGATGTGGTTTTTGTTTATAAGGAGATGGTGAAAGCAGGAGTGGCACCTAGTATTGATACTTTGAATTATTTGCTGGAGGTCTTGTTTGAGACAGATAGGGTTGATTCTGCTTTGGATCAATATAGGAGAATAAACAAGAAAGGTTGTATTCCTAATAGTAGAACTTTTGAGATAGTAATAAAAGGTCTCATTGCCAAAAATAGAGTTGATGATTCAGTTACCATTTTGCATGAGATGTTGGAACTCGGATGCCTGCCTGAACTGAGATTTTTTAGATCTACGATACTTTTGTTTTGTGGGGAAGATAGACTGGAACAGGGGATAAGGTTGTTTAGGAAGATGAAAGATTCTAATTTTACCCCGGATCCTTTTATTTATGGAGCTTTGATACAGTGTTTGTGCAAGCACCTTAGGTTGGATGAGGCAGTATACCTTCTTGAAGAGATGATGGAAAGTCGGTTAACACCTGATAATAATGTTTTTGTGGATATTGTAAATGGGTTTTGTAAATTAGGGAAGATAAATGAGGCTATTAAGCTCTTGGAAGATAAACATGTGCATGTAACTTCTCCACACAATGCATTGCTCAGATGTTGTTGTGATGCTGATAAATTCTTCATGGCCAAAGGTCTCCTTGAGAAGATGTCTGAGAGAAATATCGATGATTGCGATTCTTGGAACATTCTTATCAGATGGCTTTGTGAGAAGTTGGGAGTGATGAATGCATATGAACTTCTAGGTAGAATGATTATATCTTCTTTGATTCCTGACTGTGCCACATATTCCGCTCTTGTTGCTGGCAATTGTAGATTAAGCAAGTATGAAGATGCTCTACAGCTATTTCTTCAGCTTCATGCCAAGTTCTGGATTCTAGATCCTGCTTCTTACTCTGAGCTAATTGAAGGACTGTGCAGGGGAGAAAAGTATCTAGAAGCTGTTAACGTGTTTTGCTACATGTCTGAGAACAGATGTCCTCTTCAGTCTTTGTCGTTTAATATGTTGATCGAGGGTGTTTGTAACATGGGAATGCTTAATGAAGCTGTCAGGCTTCAATTGTTGGCTTATAATTCTGGCACTTCTTGTTCCAATGCTACATGCAATTATATAATGCTTGGATTGTCTAAATCAGACAAGGGAAAACATATGCTTGTTTTTCTCTCACAAATGTTGGTTCAGGGTACCGATCTTGATATGGAAGCATATTGCATTTTGATACAGAGCATGATTGCACAGAAACAAATAAAGGATTGCACTTTGTTTCTCAGTGTGATGGTTAATGAGGGCTTGGTACCTGATTCAGACACATTATATAAGCTACTGTCATGTTTGGCCGATCATTCTCAGTTGTATTTGATATCAGTTTCACTTGATAAACTTGTTTCTGACTGTGAAATTCTAGATTCAGCTATGTACAACATACTTATTAATGGTCTGTGGAAAGAGGGCAGCAAAAATGAGGCTCATCGACTGTTAGACTTGATGCTGGAGAAGGGTTGGGTCCCAGATTCTATGACCCATGGATTGTTGATTGGCTCTGGTAATAGGGAGGGGAAAGGTGAGGGGAAATTGACATATGTTGATAGCATCAAAGATAGTGTTAGTGACATTCTAGTCGAGGGATTGGGGGAAACATGAATCTGCATTCACTGAATGCCTTTTCTAAGGTGAATGGAATGCTAAATACTTCCCCTTCCTTTCATATGTGGCAATTCTGCAAAGACGTCTTTGTTAGTTGGAGGAATAATTCACAAGCCACATGCTAGCTGAGGGATTGGGTGAAACATGAATCTGCATCCACTGAATTTTGGAAAGATAGAAGATCTCAATTTTTGACTCATTGCTGAGCCCAAATGGTCAGCCTGCAAAGGTAATTTTTTGTCTTTGTGATGATATTTCTTATTTTCTCTTATGAATCTGTTTTTCATTATTTTCTTGTTGTATTTTCTACTTCCGTGCTATTCAATTTTTGCATCTAAAATATCCAAAAAACTCTTCATTTTGATAGTGTTGCATGGGCTGCTTCTATCAATCACAAATGTGGGTCACCTTTCCCATCCAGATGAGGGTCTCTCTCTCTCTTGTGTGTGACAAGAAAAATTTGTATTTTTCCATTAGTAACTAGATAGCATGTAGACTTTTCCGAAGCAAATATCATAAACTGGGTGGTTAATTTTATTGTTTCCCTGGTAGGGAAACCTGTGGCATTCTGTACACTGTTTTCATCTTCATCTTGAACATCAACTATACCATTTTTTGGCTTCATCTGATGCCATGGAGTCGTATACGCCCACACTTGCTGAGAATCACCTCTGTTCTTTTCTTTTTGACGAACATACACAACTCAAAAAACTGTGGTCCTTTTTACCGAACAAAATTTTGTAGAATTTCTACCTTAATGGGAACTAGCCACTCATGACCAGGGCAATTCGCACATGATAGATGGACTCATCACTATGGGTTGTTTTGATGTTTTCAGGTGCCTTGGAAGGTGACCGCAAATAGGAGAGATGATGGATCTTCAGCGCTAGGTAACTTGATCTTCTCTCTTTATATTTTTTCGCTTTTGCATTGAATGGAAGGATTGAGTTTCTCTGGTTTTGTCAAGTATTATTGCTTGGTGAGTTTGTTCTTTTTATCTGGGATTTTGCCATGACAATAAATAATTAGTGCCAATTTCGTTATATGCTTTGATTTGATGGATATTCACATCCAACTTTTTTGAGGCCATTTGAATGCCTGATTTGAAGATTCTTTACCTGGGTTTTTTTCTTTTCTTTTCAAATTTCCATTTGATTTTTGTGCTATTTTGGTAGTTTTAACTTATGCATTCTTTTGGTTACCTAATTAATGTTCTTATGCATACAATGGTGGCTTTCAAGGTCCCAATTTCTCATTGGCTGTTGTTTTATTATTTCATTGTTTTGGTTTCTTCAATTCTTGCTACCTCTTTTTACCTTTTCTTCTTCTTTCTTTTCTCCTTTCCTTTGTCTGCATTCGCAATTGTTTTGTCCTTTTTTTTTCTTTTTCTTTTTCTTTTTTTTTTTTTTTAAGGGGGGGGCACGGGGTTGTTTGTTGTCATTGTATTTTGTAAAGTGCCCAGTTATCATGTCATTATTAAGATTCATTAGTGGTCAAGAGGAAGGAGGTTGTTTAAATTTTTAGCAAATTCATTTGCTTGTAAATTTATTTTTGGTGTTCGGTTGGCTGTCTAATTAGGTAAATTATGTTTCCCTCTTGTTGCTGGATTTGGATCCTTTTATGTTATTGTGCTAATTTAGTTTCCCTTGGTAATTTGTCTATTTTGCCTAAAACAGCATGTTGCCAGAGCCTAAATCCACAATCACCATGATTTTAAAATTGCATTTTTTTTTTTTCTACTTTAGTTGAATTTGTAGGGATTGGTTCCTGCGAGGTTAGGAGTCGATATTTTTGCTCCTTCCAAAAATTATGCTCAACAATAAGTTAGCATTGTACAAATTCACAGCATCTTCATTATATATTTGAGCAACCAGGTGCTTTTTTTTCCCCAATCCTTTTGTGTGCCAAAGCAACACAGCTTATTAGGGGTTGTAAAATCTTATGTACCCAGTTGTCATATCTAGCCTTGGAACGCATTATAAGGGTCACATTCCAATCCTTTCTGGATTCCTATATGAGTGCAGTCTCTTGGTGATTATGTGATGGGATATAGAGACTAGACTGCGATACTGATTTTTGTCCTGTGAAACATGCAGGATGTCAACACAACATATGGAAGAAAAATAGACTTGCCTACAAGCTAAAGATATTTTCTGTTCAGAAATTCATGTAACTTGCATTTAAGCTCGAGGATGCCCTCTTTCTCCCCTTATCTCCAGCTTCTCGGATCTTCATGTCCATTAGTTTGCAGGCAGTTCCAGATGTATTTTTTGCTTGTTTAAAATCTTCAGTTGGTTTCTTTTGATCAGGTTCGGGTCTATTTTTCTCAATTCCTAATGGACGGTTCACAACAAATTGATTGCTTTTGGAATTGGAAGGAATTGTTTGTTCTCGGAAGTATTATGTAGGTCAAAGTAAAGTAGTACAAGTTTTTTTGGAGGCCATTCCCGTAATTCAGATTCAGCTTTATCAACTGGCTGTCCATTCTAGTAGACTCTCTACCAAGTACAGACAATGGAAGAGGAGGAAGCAATCAGTCCTATTTGTGATTATGCAGCAGTACTAATGAATGTCGTGATCACATCTTCTTCTCATGTGCTTTTACTAGAGGAGTATGGCAGCAAGTTTAGCTCTGACCAAGATAAACAGAGAGGTGGGGGGGACTGAAATTCTGAATCAAGTTGTCTCATTCAATCTCGGCAGAATTTTTTTATTTTTTATTTTTGGCTTTAAGCTGTGACATGTTTGGACAACCAGAAATAACACGATTCACAAAGCTGGAGATTTTTCAGGAGATTTTATTTTTGTTTTGTCGTTCATTTGTCGAGGAAAGCTGTGGGTCCCCATTTTGTTGCAACACATGCGTGGCACGGAGGTCTTGCTATTTAAAAAGGAAAGGGTCGTTTCTCCTTCCCCTAGCAAGGACCATGATAGGATGAAAACTTGAACTAAGCAATTCAGTATCCTCTTCCTTTTGTTATATGACAGCCATCAGGATTTGAGAGAGAGAGAGGATGATTGAAAAAACAAAATATTCAAGCCAGGTGAACAGGCTGCGTGTGAACAGGCTGCGTACTCCTGGCCGCATTTCCGCGCCTGGAGTACCTAATAACCCGCAGCACCAAGAGTTCCATAACATATGAAGACAAATAAAATTGATAAAGCAAGAACAAAGCCATTCCATTAGACAAAAACCATCATCTTGCCAAACAAGAAAATATGATGGACGCAAACCAAGGCTTGGCATAGCGGTGGAAGGGGCTTGTCTCCTTCCACTGCACCTGGGTTCGAGCCTTGGCGTGCACGCCTGTCACCCCCGCGGTGCCTTACATGCCTACTGGGTTTGCAGGGTATTCAGTGGGCCGTGGGGATTAGTCGTGGTGCGCGCAAGCTGGCCCGGACACGCATGGTAATCTAAAAAAAAAAAAAAAAAAAAAAAGAAAATATGATGGACTAACCATTTAGGTGGTGGCTAAATGGTAAGGACTTGGGATCAAGGGGTTTGCTTTCTCTGTGGTCTCAGGTTCAAGTCCTTGGTTGCTCATATGGTGGCCATTGGAGGCTTACATGGTCGTTAACTTCAGGACCCGTGGGATTAGTCGTGGTGCGCGCAAGCTGGCCCGGACACGCATGGTAATCTAAAAAAAAAAAAAAAAAAAAGAAAATATGATGGACTAACCATTTAGGTGGTGGCTAAATGGTAAGGACTTGGGATCAAGGGGTTTGCTTTCTCTGTGGTCTCAGGTTCAAGTCCTTGGTTGCTCATATGATGGCCATTGGAGGCTTACATGGTCGTTAACTTCAGGACCCGTGGGATTAGTCGTGGTGCGCGCAAGCTGGCCCGGACACCCCACGTAAATCAAAAAAAAAAAGAAAATATGATGGACTAACCATTTAGGTGGTGGCCAAATGGTAAGGACTTGGGATCAAGGGGTTTGCTTTCTCTGTGGTCTCAGGTTC